TTGGTTTCTGGTGTTATACATGGGTCAAACACTGCTTCTGTTCTAAGTTCCTTAAACTGGAAATCCCTATCAACTAGAAGAGATGAGCATTATAAAATGTTTATGTTTAAATGTAGGTACAATTCTTATCCACCTTTCATTTGTGAATTACTTCAAACCTATGAAAATACGCAGGCTAGGCAACTGGGAGATACAAGACATTACTTGATTCCTACAAAAGCTAGCAACTCATTCCGGAGGTCAACTATTTTGAATGGAATAAGAATATGGAACAATTTACACCTTGACACGAGAAGATGTCAACCGATATCACGCTTCAAAAGATTAGTAAGAGATTACAGGAGCCCTGTCTCCATGCTACCCACTACCAAAATGGTAAACGAAATGCCTAGATATGTTGAATCTGCTTTTAACAAACTCAGAGTGGGTCTTCTTTTAAAATCACATCTATATGCTCATAATTTCACCAGTGTTAGTGATCCCTTTTGTAAATGTGGATTACCACAAACACCTTCTCATTTTATCTTAAAGGAATCCAACACCTTGCAAAACTTCTTAACGGAGAGGAATAAGGGAAAATGCTTGCCGGATTCTGAATCTGTGTATTTTTTAATGATTTTCACCGTCTTAGAATTTCAATTTTTTTCCTTTGGAAAAATGAGATTTGCATTGTTTTTCAATTAGACAAATGAGTAAACATGAATAGCTCGAAATCTAACAGTGAGATTTTGTTTTAAAAAATCATGGATATCAAGGCTAAATATAGCTATACAATAAACATAAAAAGGCAATGCTTGGACTCTTCATATTCACACAAAAAATTAATTAGTAAATGAGGTTTGATATTTGTGAGAATATGTTGTACGAGTCGCAATGCTCTACAAACACCAGACTACAGGGTGGATTAGGATCAATGACACACATAAAAATTAATTTAAAAACATTTCATGATAATTATCTCAAACAAAAGCAGTTAGCGAAGGATACATTTCATTACACTTAATAAATAGTTATCACTTTTGACTATATATACATATCTCGTGGGAATGTATTTCCATCTGCTCAAGATATCATATTTTAGCTTCGAAAATCACAATCGTTGGATAATACATTTGTCTCAGAATGATAGGCCACCCTGTAGCAATGTAGCTTTCACTTGAAGTGTACCCTTGAGAATAATGAACTTACTTTCAAATTGGTCTTGCTTTTGTGGTGTATGTGGCTTTTTAGCAAATCTGCCACGCTCATTTCTTTCCAGAACCATCTTGTTCACATGTAACACTAGGCTATACGCGCATGTATAGACAGATGACATAGATATACATATAAATTATATATTGCACCTGTATTTACTTCCATGGGAACATTCCCTTTGGAAAAATGCAAATGCATGAACATATATTTTCATCTTATATATGACTTCAAGCTAACATATTATTTCATATTTATATTTCCATAGTTAGTCTAACATAAATAATAGATCCATGAGAACAATATTCTTTGTTTTCTTAAAAATTGATGGGTTTACTGTGAATTCAATAAATTACAATTCGCAAGGGGTAAGTATACTGTATGACCTTAGTTGCAAAGTACTGTTTATATATGCAGCTCAATAGCATAAAATGTGTTGAATGAAGCATATGATATGGATTAGTCGTGTGACACACAAACTGACCAATACATGAGGGTATTAGCTACTTTTCACAGAAACCAAAGGAGGACAGTGCTTTTATTTCAACTGGGAGCTTACCTCCACACGACTGATCATGTGACCATGGTGTTGGGTCCCTTTAAAATGTCCTCTGCTTGTAAACGAGCGTGAAACTTTATTTGCAGGACTGCGAACTTCAGATCTTCATCTTTTGGTTCAGAATTTGAACACAGTTGACAAAATTCAGTTTCTTTTGTATGGTGATGAAGATTTAGATAATTCATTAAATGAAAAATTAATAGAACTTATGAGTCATTTTGTTAATCAAAGTCTGAGCCAAATTGATCGGTTTGGCTAACTTTTGCATGCATGTGTTAACACATCCCTGGCTCATGGGATTATAGTTTCTTATATGAGAATTTTATATAATGCATTTGTCAAATCAAATAATATCATTTCACAAAACCAGGCAGGTTTTATGAAGAAAGCAGGAACGACCGACCATATATTTATAATTCGGTCTCTTATTGACAAACATGTTCATCAAAATAAAAGTAATTTTTATGCCTGCTTTGTGGACCTAAAGAAGGCATTTGATTCGATATGGCACACAGGCCTTATGTATAAGTTACAAAAGTCAGGAATTAAAGGGCACTTCTACAAAATTATTAAAACCATGTATGAAAATGCCACGGCGCGTGTAAAACTTAATCACTCAACTTATACGGAATCATTTTCATGTGCTAGGGGTGTAAAACAAAGGAGACTCGCTCAGTTCATTATTATTTAACATATATATAAATGATATTATAAAAAAGTTTGATAATGTTGGGAAATCTCCGTTCCTTGAAACTCAACATGTTAGCAGTTTGCTATTTGCAGACGATTTAGTCATATTTGATACTAGTAAAGGAGGAATGCAGCTAAAACTAAACACTCTTGAATCCTTCTGTGATGACTGGAAACTTGAAATTAATATTGACAAAACAAAAATTATGAAATTCTGGAAATGTGGCAAAGTTTGTCATGAACGATTTCAAATAAATGGTAAGAATATACAAAATGTTCAAAGGTATACATATTTGGGAATTGTCTTGAGTGCTTCGGGATCTTTTAAACCGGCCCAACAAAACATAAAAGAAAAAGCAAATAAAGCCATGTTTAAAGTTTATCAATTGACAAGCGGCACAGAGATGAAGTCTTCACTGAAAATGAAATTGTATGATCAACTTATCAAACCCGTCGCTTTATACGGTTCGGAAATATGGTGTAATGATATATATACCAAGCGTGACTGCCAAACTAATCGAGATATTGAACAGAAATACGAAAGTGCTTTAATTGAAAGATATCATATTCGGTTCCAAAAATATGTTCTCGGGGTTCATAGAAAAGCCACAAACATGGCAGTAAGAGGAGAATTGGGAAGAATACCTTTGGTAGTTGATATTATAAAAAGACAAATCAAATACTTCGGTCATTTAGAGTTGAGCTCAAATGGGAGTTTACTAAACGATTCATTAATTATGAGTAAAACATTTGATTTAACAAATAACACATTTACATGGCACAAACAACTCAAAAATATACTGTGCCATATTAAAATTAAAATGTCTGATGAATTGAATCTTGAAGATAAGGTAAACATTGAGATGAGCACAAATAGGCTTGCTATTAAAGTCAAAAAGAAATTAATAGAGAGATATCGAGTATATTGGAAGAATCTGATAAGTGGGAATGGGGGAAAACTTAGATTATTTAAACAACTAAAATCAAACTTTGGATTTGAACACTACCTTTCAGAAACGACACTTTCAAACGCTAAACATTTAAGTAGATTACGTATAAGCGCCCACAATCTAGAGATAGAGAGAGGCCGATATACAAAACCAATTACTGATCTTAATAGTCGATTTTGTAAAATATGTAAGGACTCGGCTATAGAAGATGAAACACACTTTTTATTCAAATGTAAAAAATTGGAGTTTATCAGAAAATCCCATATTGAAAAACTTGAAAACCTGTGTAGTAATTTTAAAAACATGAATGACCACCAAAAGACAATTTTTCTATTGACGAGTGAGTGTTATTGAAAATTGAATATCGGATGTACGTTTGGCATCAGTACTAATAAAATCCTATTATTATGAGTGAAAACATTACTTTGATAAATTTTAAATTTTAATGTATTCCTATTCATATTGTCTAAAATTGCCGCTAATGTTTTTTTTATAAAACTTTGGCAATCAATTGCATGTCTTCTATTGTTTACTAGAGGAATAAATTTATGTATAAAAAAAAGAAAAAAGAGAACATTTTTGGAGTAACTCTCCGGATCTCGATCAATTCATATTTGCTTTACCCAATGGAGGCTTCTTCATATAGCTTTGAAATCTAGTTTAAGTTTCGTTTTTAGTGAGATCTTTGGAGATATGTATTTTTAACCACTAAAGGCTAACCTTTTCTTCTATTTGATGGCATATTTGAATTCTGTATGTAATTTTCTATCGAAAGGTGCCATTGACTTATAGTGGGGATGCAATTGATTTCATCCTGCGTATTTACCGTAGATATGCAGGAGGAAATCAATTGCATCCCCATCTTAATTCTATTACACCCTTGCTGAAATCCTCATTTTCTCAGAAAAAACTCAAGTTGATTGAGTCTGAAACAAGTAGATTCGTGTTGGTGAGTATTGCTAGAATCCATTTTCAACAGTTAGAATAGGGGTTCTTATACAGGACACTACTGGCCTTACATTTTAGAACTTTTTATTGGTACTAATGGTCTTGACTTGTGATTTTGTATTGTGTTATTGATTGTTTCTAACATCCCGGGAGAGTGAGAAGAGGGATGTGGAGGGATTGTTATGCGTGTTTATATGTGAAACATTCCAGATTGGCACATAAAGGGTTTGTATTCGTTATTACAGTTCTTAGAGCCAATCCTTTTTCCGAAGTTACGGATCTAATTTGCCGACTTCCCTTACCTACCTTTCTTCCATCGTCTAAATTAACGCCGCATTGTTCTCAAGTACGTGTTCTTACAAAGTTGGAAAGTACTCATGTTGAAAGAAAGATATGTCTGTCTAAAATCACTTGCCATACTGAACATAGACATTTACTTGGCAAATAAATAAATTGGAAGAACCCTTCTCGACTTTGAGTATAATCGTTTAACCTTGCCCCGAGACCTTATCTGAAACTTACCAGCTTTTGAATGTCACAAACCCTCTTCAGTTTGCAGCTAGACCCCCAGACATTTTTATCTAAACAGAAACAATGCGCTCACCAATCAACAACAAACAATAATATCAGTAAAAGGTCACCACTTCTTAATAGATAATTTTAGTATTTATTATTGAAGTATTGTCTTTGAATAAGAAGAGGAATCGAATCCAGTTTCTATTTCTCTACGGCAATATGTGGACGTCTGCAATCTTTCTTGCGCTCTTCGTGGGAGGAACCATCGGTGCCCCACGAAGCTTACCCCCGCTGCAGAGTTTAGGCAAAAGTACAACAGAATTCGCCTTTGATTTCTACAGACATCTCATTGCAGCAGACAAGAACACAAATGTCTTCGTTTCACCTATCAGTATATCAACCGTGTTGTCCATGACCATGCTTGGAGCGAGGAACGCTACCCACACCCAGATGCAAGATGCACTATGTGTTGGAGACCTGGGTGATATGGTTCATGAGCTATACCAGGAATTTGGCAACAGAATGGACAAGGCAAACAAAAACCTGACGTTGAAGGCTGCTAATAGGCTATTCGGTCAGACGGGCTTTCAGTTTTTGAAGCAATACCTTGATGATTCTTTGAGGTATTATAACTCTCCGCTGAAGCAACTGAATTTCAACACTGATCCAGAAGGATCTAGGAAATACATCAACAACTGGGTGTTTAAGGAGACGGACAACAAAATCAAGGTACAGAGCATACGTGTATTAGTAATCTGAAATGGACTGCTACAGGTGTATATCAATTCAATCTCAAATGTAAGAAAATTGGGTTTAAAATCATTTCCAAATCGCATGTATATATTTCATTAGGCAACATTTGTAAGCTAATAGGGCTCTCACAGCTGATATTCAACTGTCGTTCAGTTTTGATTCGAGGGTGGTACGTTGTTTCCTGAAAGAGAGACTTCTAATGGAATTTAGTTTCTTGCATGTTTTTTTTTAAATTTCTTTTTGAATTTCGTCATTTCAGAACCTTTTGCCACCAAAATCTATCAATCCGTCTACAAAGTTGGTGCTGACTAATGCGATATATTTCCAAGGGAACTGGCACTATAGATTCAACAAGACATTGACCAAGCCAAATGATTTCTTTTTGATGGGAAACGTGAACAAGAAAGTGAACGTCTCTATGATGTCACTACATACGTCATTGTGGTAAGATAATTTGATAGATTTTCATGTGAAGTACTGAATGTTGTATTCGCATTGTGTTGTGCTAACGTTGTCTCTGCGTTCTATTTGTGATGTGTTATAATGTAAGTATTGAGGGAAAATAGACTAAATGTTTCAGGTTTTAGTAACCTTAACCTCTTAATAGACGTTTGATGTTGCTATTCCATTTGAGTATCATATGTGGTTTCATTCATCAAAACACACTTTTCATCTACATGTATTTATCTTGAATTTTAGGCGTGGATATATTCCCGAGATGTCGTGTCAGATAGTCGAGTTACCGTATTCTGGTAATAACACAGCCATGTACATCCTGCTGCCCGATGACCTGGACGGTATCGGAAAAATTGAAACGCATTTGAAGAACACCTCTATCATAGAAGAAGGTATCAAGCGTTCCGAGAACAGATCGATTACTCTTCTCATGCCAAGGTTCAACCTGACCCAGCAGTATGACCTTCGTTCGACCTTGAGTGCGATGGGCATGCGCGATCTTTTCACCCCAATGGCTGACCTTTCTGGTATTGATGGACGCAGAGATTTATTCATCTCATCATTTGTTCACAAGGCCTGGGTCGACGTTAATGAGAATGGAACATCGGCCGCTGGGGCTACAGCGGCTATCACCCCTACTGGCATCGCGCCATTCAAGGTGGACAGGCCGTTCATTTTCTTCATCAGAGATCGTATGTCAGGAGCAATACTCTTCCTCGGGAAAATAATGTGCCCGCCTGGATTTGAGAATCAGTGCAAATAGATGTCGCATCGTATCGTTTAAATCTTGATAGCTCTGATATTGTACAGCCAAGATTTGTGATGTGTTTTGATGTAGGTGATGTTCTGACATAATTGTATTTTGAAATATTTCTGTATGAACAATGTTTTTAAAATATAATCGAAAGTAGATATTTATCTGTAGCTTGATATAAAAATCAGTTATTTTCGAGATATCTTTTTTTTCTTGTTATGCACTTTCAAAAAAGTAAAAAACAAGCCTCCTTAGCTCCATAACTCGTGCAGTAGTAAGTTGCAAACTCGCTGACCCCGTTTCTTACACCCGAACAACGTTCTCACAAAAAGGCGAACAATCGTACATCGGAACTCGCGAGTGGAGAAATAAGTTCGGCAGAGAGGAACTGGCGGTTGCGACTGGTTTCCCTTGGGTAAATTTTTTGGGGGACCTAATTATTTCTACAGCGGATACACGAGTACCTTGTTGTATATTTTAACTATCTAATTATTGATCTCCCATACGGTGCGTGCGGATTTGGATAGTAGCTATATTTGAATTATGAGACAGGGGCTCTAAACGATGTTTCTGTGTGCGTTAAATCTTTGTTTAAGATGCTGGGAGTTTGTTTTCTTTTGGCCGTTTGCACACTTAACGTTCCCTTTCTATCCATCTTCAATATGTTTATTTTTCTAATTGTGCTTTTTAATGATTCATGATCAAATCTTCACGACTTTCTGTCTAATCATCGGTGAAGTTGAATAAGTGAACATGGAAAATGATTTATGCTGCATATTTTGATGCTGACAATAGTCTTATTTATGGTACTGTTTCATTTATTCACTTAAAGTTTGAATATGCCGGTGTAAAAGGGTAGGAGGTCCTATTAATTTATGGTCCTACTCTCCATTGATTTATATGGTGACCTCTTTGTGCTCTTTCCCTTTATATACACAATCAGGGCCAGTAAGGGCCTTTAAAAGGGGAACCATAATCCCTGGGGGATCATAATTTCTTTCACACCGCCGGTTCTTAGGATCTAATAACCGATTCACCAATCAGAGCAACAATACAATGTTTAATGGTAAAACGTGTAGATTGCTGTTATACAACTTTCAATTGATAGATTTAAGATACTGCTTCCAAAAATGACACAGTCATATATCCAAAAACCAGCTCCGTGAATAGTTTGATAAATACAGAATATCACATCATTTTGAATGATATCATTTTTATCGCCGAGTTGATATCAAATATCAACACGAGTGAGCGAAGCGAATGAGTGTTGATATTTGATATCTACGAGGCGATAAAATGATATCACGAGAAATTATGTGATATTGGGTTTATCCCATGATTACAATCACCTTGTGATGTTCTGATCCAATTTCCAGGACACTGGCAGACCTATTTTCTCAAAAGAGAAAAAATTATCTGACCTAATTTCCAACAATATTGTGGCGCGAAATGCAAATGTGATATCACACACAGAGTTTTCAAATGTATGAATTTGCTAAAGATTTAGCCTACATCTAACTGCCATCTATACAACTGAACTTAACATTGTAATCAATGACCCTCCTTTTTATCTCGATTAATAATAGACAAGTGTAGGTATTTCAAAAAAATTTTAATCAGAAAAATTTCATAGTCATTAATTCCACATGCGCTGCTTGAGAATGTATTTCTACCCCATGCAGTACCCCGTGTCCATATTTATCAGAGTATATGGCATACTCAAATGACGCAATTCCATTCGCATCAACATGCCACGGATATGTTGTACTGCCTTCTATGACGTCAGACTCTGTATTTTCACATTCACATTTTGGGAGAAGTATACTTCCCGTGTATACAAATGAGTTTTTCCGAATAGTACCCGTCCATTGCCCTTAAATGAAACAAACAATATCCAGATAGTTTCAATTACAATACAATGCTTATTTTACATTTCATCAACATATTGGCAATATTTTATCACAGACATTCGACGTAAAACGTGCCGTTCATCAAGGCGGGGTTATAAGCTTAGTAGGATGATATTGTACCAAATCTTTAACGCTGACATTATACGTGATCTTCAGGGGATGAAACTCGGCGCATCGATCGGCGACATTGACGTCACTTGCCCAACTTACGCTGATGACATGGTTTTAATTTCCACTGACCTCGATAACATGAACATTCTACTTAACGCGGTATATGACCATAGTGTAAAATGGCGATATGACATTCACAAAGGAAAATACAAGACTGAGTTCGAAAAGAAAAGCAGAGCTGCAAACTGTCAACCCACCCGGAATGTTGTGAAAATAAATAGCACTCCTATTGAGGCAGTAAACAAAACACTACAATACATGTTGGAATACCGCCGGTATCGGTCTCTGGTAACATTACCGAATACATTGAAGACAGTCTTTCTAAGGGCTGTAGAAAGTATTATTCACTACTAGGCCTCGGATCGGGAGTCGATGGTATGCGACCTTTAACCCTGTCAAAGCTTTATAACACTTTCGCCACCCCATCAGTGACGTATGGTTCTAGCGTTAGCCCTTATTCATCAAAAGGTATCAACAAACTCGAAACTCGAGACGTAGTTTGAAACGTCCAGTAAAATGTCGAGTTCGAGACCCACAGTGTACCATCCACCTAAGCAGGTGTCCAGAATCCGAAAGAAGATATTCTGGATTTTTAAGCCGCCTGTGATCTGTTTCGAATAAGACGCATGTTATATGAAGGATGCCACGATATGATATGAAAAAACAAGATACAACTGTTGTGAAGTTACTGACTGGTCAATAGTTCTGAACGGTCACAGAAAGTGTGATATAGCAAAAGAAAATGGTCGATTGTGCAATGTCTGCAACTTAAATGAAATAGAATCAATCGAACATTTTCTTTGCCAATGCGAGATGTACGATCAAGAAAGATTAGCACAAAACGAAATCCGATGAATATAACGATACAACTAGTGTTAAAGATCGTATCAGTTTGATCTTAACTTGTACAAACGACGATCTTGCATTGCAAGCTGTTGTAATAATTCATTCAATGTATATTAAAAGACAAGCAACGCTCATAACATAATCATAAACAAATAATTTATCCACTTTCTTATTTATGTGTTAATTCACAATTAATGTTCAATTGTTACTCTCTTATAAGAGGTAAATACAATATAATGAGAGATATTGTCATTTCATTTTGGAACATTTTAGAAAACTCGGTATAAGTGTATATATATTATACCAACCTCTTGATACAATATCCTTTCTAGCATTTACAGTGAACCCGATCTCTTTGTTGTGTGTGTCATTGTAAAACGTCACTTTACGGAGACCATGCGTTATTTCCGTCACTGCTCTTAGCTTATCATCAAAAACAAACCCGGAGAATAGGTAGTCTCCAAAGTCTACGGGCTGACCCTGATACAACTGCTCATCCGTTAGGGCGCTTATATCAATGCCAAATCTTTGTTTCACAAACTCAACGAATTCTCTTCCTAAACAACATCATCATATATAATTATTATATTTCGGCGATCGAACCAATACGATAAGAGAACGTTTGCACAATTAAAGTTCAATGTTCTTTAAGTTGACAAAGTTTCACTACTATACCAAGTGCTTGGGGCATTTGCTAGTCATTCAAATAATGTGCCTAAAATGGGCACTGCATCTCTGAAGACAGAAATACCATTGACACCATTTACATCAACAATATTGAAAAAACAATTCAAAATGTGTTTGTATTTTCAAAAAAATAACTTCGAATTTATAGTTGAGAAACCTAAACCATATATATAAGATTTATTTCAAACATTTTCTGTAGCATTATGTACTCTAAATTGTAAAAAAGGATTTAGTTTTTACTGATTTTCTTGACCTCAACGCCCCACTGAAAGAAGATGGAAACGTAGAGTTGGAGCCTAGCTCAAATAAAGAAGGAACGATGCAAAAACTAAAATACAGCAGGATTCCTATAAGAAAATTCAGCAAATCTGGAAGATATTTTTTCAAGAGAAAGATTACCACTGAATTGTTAAATGAATAGGAGCAGAATATGACAAATATGTTAGGTCTCCTTTGATTTTTTGAACCTGTACGCTTCTAAGATATGAGATCTATAGTGTGTCTAAAAAAATGTTACACTTACAGAAAGTTCAATATCTTTCATAATTTTGACTTTTCCCCTAAAATATACTTTGGATACCAAAAGACAAATCTTTCTCAAATGATCTGACACCATCTGATTCAAAATCTGTCCTTGATTAACTGCACATGACAGCTTTTAGTGTCCCATGGTAAAATCTGACTTGCGCTAACATTTAAATAATCGGATGGACCAAATGAAAAAAGAGGAACAGTTTCTGTAACATTCAACTTTCTTCTGAGTTGAAGCCTGACCTTTAACTGGGTCATTCTGTAATTTTCCTATTTGTCTTACGATCATTGGGTTCATCCGCATTAACATGTTCTCCCCTCAACATGTTCTCCAAAGCAAATCTCAGGTACCGATGCCCATGCGCACATGCTTTATAATATCACACTGACTCCATCAATTATTTTTGCAGAAGTTCATTTAGGTCAGTTTGTGATGCTGTAAAGTGCTTTCAGAAGCCCTTCAAAAAATCAAGGGTGTAAAGTGGGATGACCCTGGGGGCAAATCCATTGGGTAATTCAATGGCATCTTCATTTCCATGGAGTTTTACCAAACGATCTGCCACAGGCCTTTGCGCCATCATGTTGCTATCATACGTAACAAAATTGAACACTCTGACAATGGAACATTGTATTTCTATCCAGGAAAGAAACAACTGGATCATTTAGCATATGAAGATATCACTGTCCACAGCATTCATACCAAAAAAGAATTGCTTACACTACATGTCAGAGAAGTTGGCGCAAATCAGATATCAGATGCGTCAATAAAATAAATATGTCCCGTGCAGCCACTCATGGACGGATTTTGAATCTGATGGTGTGGATTTATTCGAGAAAGACTGGTATTTTGGCAACTAAGTATATTTTAGGGGAAAAATCAAAATCATGATTGATTTTGAACTTTTTGTAAGTGTAACATTTTTTGAGACACACTAAAAAGGGACATCGTCACTCACGTGAAGTCAAATATATATCAGACAACAGTAGTTTTCACGACCTGTAATAAATACGTATAAGGGACGTTATTATCACAAAACTAATGCCATTGCTCGCTTTTTTAGTTGTAATAGTTGCCATGCGATATACAACAAAATAATCGTAAAAATCAAAATTGAACGGAGGGGTAGTTAACGGAGGGGGGGGGGATAATATGTCTTTCTGATGGAACAAATTCACAGGAACTCGTGTATTTCAAAAAAATTCCAAAATCAATCTTCCAGATTTGTGGAATTGTCTTGCAAAAATCGCCTACTCCCCCCTCCGTTCATTTTGTCTGATCACTGGCCGTGAAATTTACCCTTTGCATTCGTTTGACTTCACTTCTTAAAAGAGAGCTTCGTCTTCACTCTTTCAAACTAAAATAAACCTCACCGCGCCAATCAGTGTTCGTCGGCCAAATTTGACCGACGTTCTATATATGGTCATTCCTTCTGACGTCATCGTTGAGCTCGGAATTGACCAATGACATGCGCATATTTAATTAGAACGCATTTGGCGTATTTTCTTCAAGCTCGCTGATTGTTGGAAGAAAGGTCAGCGCGTAGGTCAAAAATCATTTATTACCCAAACTGTCAGCGGTTACCGTCGTGGGGGCGGGGCTGGGGGCGGGGCTACTAAACTGTAATATGGTCTCTACTAGGCAGAGTGTAGTTTAACTAGACTCTGCACGCAGGGTACGTGAAATTATGCGACTAACGCTTGTGTAGGTTGCCGTTGTGGGGTACTATGTATGTACTAAGTTCTGCAATATCCTTTAAATTGTAACAAATAACATACTACAAATAACATACTACAAATAACACTCACCTTTTCTAACGATATCTAATTTTGTATTGACCCCACATAGTTTCCAAGTATCGTGGAAGTATTTCATCGAAACATGTAAAACTTGGGGTTCTCCATCTGCCACATAAGATAGTATTCTTACGGGAGAATTTGTCTCCAATAATTCAGAAGACGTTTGTCTTACCGTGCATGCCTTTTGTGACTCACAAAAGTGCAGATTTTCGATGTAGAAAATACAGAAAATAAAAATGCTACGATTTAACCATGTCATGGCTCTTGTAAAATCAATTTTAAGTTCCTCTTGCTATTGCAGTGATGTTGTTCAAATACATAGTTTCTGAGCTACTGGTGATATCTTAAAGCATTTACATATAATTATGAGGGTAATATCTATAAGTCATGAATATAAAGATTAAAGACATTAATTTATTGTTTTAGAATCGTTAGTTAACCCTAGAGACCCCAAGGTAAAAAAAGTCACACGAAGCCCTAAGGGGGGGGGGGGGGCAAAAAATAGCCCCCAAATGGAAAATCTTCCTTAGTAATGCTAGGATGTTCAAACTATCCTCAAATATATTTCCACGACCGGCGATCGTACAAAATGGATGGAGGGGGGGGGGGGAGATTAGGCGATTTCTGCAAGAAAACTGAACAAATTTAGAAGATTTATTTTTTTCTGGAGAAAATTTACAAATGAATAGGCGCAGTGCATTGCAAAATTACGGAAAGCTATAGGGGACCTGCGCATAATTCAAAATCGAATGGAGTTTTAACATGGGAGTGATATCACACACCGCGGCCCAGTCAGATAGATTTCATCGCGCACTGAATGAATTACAGGGGCCGCGTTGTGCAAAGTTAATTAAAATAAAGTGCGCAGAAATTCCGGCATTCAGTGCGCGATGAAAAATGATTATCTGTGAATAAATAACGAATAAAAATTCGTGGCACCACGAATTTGATTTTTTTCGAAAGACTGCGGAGAAGGACTGCGGAGGAGAACTTTGAGATTTCCCGATTCTAGCGCGCAGCACATCCAGGACCATGATGCGCACTTTTATCAGATTCGATTCTAATATGGTTTCAAAGATAATGTTCATTAAAAGAGGGCGTATGCATACAGATTACACGTGGCGTTATGTTGAAGTGACCCTTGCAAAGGGTTCCATTGAAATATATTATTTTGGGCCATTTCATATCTTTTAAGTGATATTGTATAAAACATTTTCAATGTTTGAAAATTATAATCTTATAAATAACATTTTATGTAATAAAACTGTAACTGAAATGGTTAATACGAAATATGATGCAATACAATGCAGTGCAATATGATATAATACAATGCAGTGCAATATGATGCAATACGATGTGGTGCAATATGATGTAATACAATGCGGTGCAATATGATACAACACAATGCAGAGCAATATGATGCAATACAATGCAGTGCAATATGATATAATACAATGCAGTGCAATATGATGCAATACAATGTGGTGCAATATGATGAAATACAATGCGGTGCAATATGATGCAATACAATGTAGAGCAATATGATGCAATACAATGCAGTGCAATATGATGCAATACAATGTAGTGTAATATAATGCAATACAAAGCAGTGTAATATGATGCAAAAAATGCAGTGCAATATGATACAATACAATGTAGTGCAATATAATACAATAAAATGCAGTGCAATACGATGCAATACAATACAGTGCAATATAATGCAATACAATACATCGCAGTTCAATACAGTGCAATACAATACAATGCAGTGCACAATGCAGTGCAATACAATATGGTGCAGTGCAATACAATACAATGCAGTGTAATACAATTCAGTGTAACACAATGTGGTGCAGTGCAATACAATACAATGCAGTGCAATACAATACAATGTAACGCAATACAATGTAGAACACTACAGTACAATACAATGCAGTGCAATAAAGTACAATGCAGTGCAATATAATATAATACAATGCAATACAGTACAATATACGGCAATAAAATACAATGCAGTGCAATACAATAAAATGCAGTACAATACAATACAATTATGTGATATACAATACAATACAATGCAATGTAATACAATTCAGTGCTATGAATGTACACCTTCTACAGACAAATAAATACAAATATAATTGATTTTAAATTGTAATGTTAGTGTTTGGAGTTTGAAGTGGGTGGGGGATACAATTACCAGTCTGCTGATTGATGACTTAATAACTTAGAAAAGATCTCCTAGCTTTTAACAGGTGGCACTTATGTCTACCTTACGTTCTTAAACAATCTCGTCTAAGAATACAGGTCCGTATCCTGGATTAATCTGGGGGAGTGGTTTTACCAAGGGGGAGATTTTGCCAAGAGGGGGGGAGCTTTTTGACAGTTTTGGCAAAAAAATCATGCATAAAGTGCTAAGAATGGTGAAAAACTGCATGATTTTGAACGAATATTTGGCAAGGGGGACGGGGGAGAGGCCCCCTGGCTACGGTCCTGGAATACATATCGGAACTTTCCTTCTCCCAGAAGAAATGGTATACGGGTATTACATCAATCATTCTGGTATTTTGTATACGAAGGTGTGTGTAGTACACACTTTATTGAAAGATGGCAGTGTACACTGTGTACTACCATTTTGAGGTCAGTTTGACTTTATAATTCTGCGTACTATAATCTGTAATTCTCATAGATATCCTCTCTAGAGGCATCACTGTGATCCAAAATTACAATTTCGCGGGTCAAGTCTGCAGTCTTTCGAAAAAAGTTGAATTCGTTGTGCTACCCTTTCTTGTTGGGCATTTATTAACAGAAAACTATATTTACATCGCACCAGCATATACTAGCTTTAGCGCGATATTTTGAGTGTGTTAATATTCTGGCTAAATAAATAAAGTGCGCAGAAATCGATCTGACTGGGCCGCGGTGTGCGATATCACTCATAACCAATTTTTAATCGCGCACTGAATGAATTACAGGGGGCGCGTTGTGCAAAGTGAATTAAATAAATAAAGTGCGCAGAAATCTATCTGACTGGGCCGCGGTGTGTGATATCACTCCCATGTTAAAACTCCATTGAATTTTAAATTCTGCGGTATATCCCCTTTCGCTTTCCGCATCATCACCAACGTGCAAAAGTCAATGTTTTTGCTATAAATCGGGCAACAATGGTCTACACGACCTGTAATAACTAATAAATAGGTATAAGGGACGTACATGACGTAATTATCACAATACTAATGACTTTGCTTACTTTTTAAAGTTAGTTTCCATGGGCTATACAAAAAATAATCGAAATAAATTTCCTTATGTGACGAGTAACACTTGATTGATTCTATGAATCGAATCGTACACTCCCCTCCATAAGTTTGGTAGCTGACCACGCTCCTTGCATCCAAACAAAGTTCTCACAACTCAAAACAATCGCGCGTCGAAACTCGCGACTGTGAGTGGAGAAATAAGTTCGAGAGAGAGGAACTGGGGGCTCGCTACTGAAGAGCCGATGTATTTGTTTCGTGATAACGTCACGTATGAAAAATGTCATTCCTATAAGCAATAAAGGAAAGCATTACCCAAATATTTTTACGTTGCATATACCTGCACATTACTGACTTTAGGCTTGTGATGAAAGTTATCATATTTACCTTCAACTCAGAATGACCGCTGAAACAACTTATTTCAGCACTGTGTGGGTGTACGAGATGGCATAATTCATACGTACAAAAAATAATATCGTATACTTTTAAAGGAGCATATTACTGATCATGATGAATCGGTTATTCTCTCTTCGAACCATCGGATTAAATTCAAATTTGTTTAACATGTGAAAAATGGTCTATATAGTTTATACTACAGAAAATTTCTTTAAATATCCCCCATATAGTTTGAGTTTCACCTAAAATATGAGCGAGAATATTCCTAAAAAAAACGGAACACTTTCACACAAGTCCTGATATACTCTCTTTAATGTTTTGATTATCGAAAATGTACATTTTAACACATTTTCATAAGATTTTTCTAATATGTTTAACGCACCTAATATCACATTATATTCAGTCAAACAAATTCAATTTCGAGTTATGTCATCATCATTTTTTTATTTTATAATACCACTATTCAAATGGCTTGTAGGATCAGTTGGAATATTTTTTACTTTTACGGATTTCCAAAGGTCGCAAACATCAGTTGAATTTGAAGTTTTCAGACTCCAAGAAAAGCCATTACAAAGACTCGTTCGCAGACAAGCGCCTCCACATTCCTCAAAACTACCATAACCAGATGCTATATGAGCCAGCTTGTCGGAACTAGAACGAGTGAAAAAACGTCTTTCCAACTTTAATGTCACTGTTGGCTGTATAAAGATACCAGTGTTCCACGGTTCAGTTTTCTTAGTGAATCTAAATCTGGTGCCACGTGGCCAGAGATAGCATTCTAAGTTTTGCCAGGAGTAGCCATGGCAATTAGCTATCTTTTGGCATTCTTCTTCACAGCGTCGCCAGGTTTGGCCTTGTACAGGTGTAATAAAGAAATGTTTGATCGCCTTAGAAGGATAATAGGCCCAAAAGGCAAACCTTCTCTCAAACTTCCCTACGATGAAAAGAATATACAAATTATTCTAAACAATAGTAAATTAATGTAAAAAAGGCAGACAGTACGCCTACAAGTAGCCGGTTAACTGGTTTAAAAATCGGATATTTTCTGATAATGAATGAATTCGAAATTGTTTCAAGATTATTGTATCCCACTCATAGTTTTATACCCAACTCAGATAAGTTGGAGAAAATATCTTAAAACTCTGAAATTGAGAAAAAGTTACTTCTGATATGCGCTGAAAATGATTATTTTTACTCACGTCTTGCTTTGGCCGGAGATACATTTGATTTGAATTGACCCCTGGCATTTCCAGGGGGATAATACTGACAGACTACAATAACCTTGTACGTTGGTCCTTCAGTCAATGCCACTTGACCACATCCTATATCTGTGGTAGAATTCCACACAACCTGAAACCACACATCAAGTCATGATTCTGTAAAGGAGTTCTATAGGAGCTACAGTATATGTAGAATAAAACCCATATTCAAATAGGCCTATCGATCCATTATAATTACAGATGGTTCAAAGATATGGCCGAAGAATAGTTGTATATGAAATTCTGAGTAATTACAAAATATGATAAAATATTGGAGCAAGCTTTTTCACATGATCTTCATAGAGATTCATACATAATGCAATTTTATAAACAGTTTGTCTATTTTATTCCTGGCGAATATATACACATTTCTACCTATCACAATGTTGTAAGTGATAGATTAGATGATTTATTACCTGCGTAAAATGTTTCGTTCGAGGAGAGAACTTGTTGTTTATGTTGTAGTCATAGTTAAAGCGCCTAGCCTCACTGTACCTAAATATATTAAAGGATTTAAGCCCAATCATACCATACGCGTTCTTAATTTGCATAAATATTTGTTGACTGCATTAACGGACTGAAATGCCATGAGTTCATGTCACCATTAGAACCTTTTTATGATATTCGATTACCGATATTCGGCGGTTGGTGTTCGGCGTGTAACAGCGTTCGTTGTCTGTAACAAATGGCAGTTAGTGAGATTTTGCAGAAGTTTTAGAGATGGCGGAGTGATTTTGGAGACTATGTAGAGCAGAATAATTTTCTGAAACAGGTAGCTTTACAGTGGTAGCTCTCTCCAGATTGAGTTATCTCAAAAACGGTGTGGTCACCGTATGCTTATTTTGTAACGGCAAGCTAGACAAGACTCCAATGAACACTGGGCACTGTTTCGCTGAGCTAGATCTGTGCCCATGAATATATTATGAAATGAAACGTTATAATGGTCCTCAATGGGATTTTTAACTGCAATCTTGACCCTAAACAGGTCGTCCATGAAAAGACTTCCGGTTCTGAAACCTTTTGACGGGATGATGGAAATACAGTACCAATCTTGAACTGCCTCGTCGCAAAAGGAACGTCTGGGCATACTGTAGGGTGAAACCATTGTGAACACATTTTCTCCTAACATTTCTCGCCGGTCTGTTAAATCAAGGGCAATGGATTCAGCTTGAGCCCGAGCACGTTCACTAAGAACAACGTTCCATTCAACCTATAAAGAAAATGAAAAATACACAAGTGAAACTCAGTCTTTGCATCGGACTGACGTTGCTAAGATGATTATTGAATATATTTTAATGAATTATAATGAAATTTGTAATTGTGAATTGCACATTCTAAAAATGTACCCTTGTGGAGAGATGGTAGTGACGAAACTTGTTGTGTGTATCTTCACAATCTTCCACGAACTTCCAATCCTCCGAATCCACGATATGCATACTGTTGTTGCTACATTTGTTAGTACAGGTCCTCCCTCCTTTCTCGAGTTGTCCAATGCAGGGGCCTTCAATACATTCCCGGGAGCGAGTTTGATAGCCTTCTTTTCCACATATCTCGCTACACGATCCCCAATTTTCCCAATTGGTCCATCGTGCTCCTTTGGAATTTTACAAATAGTGTTAGCGTATTGTCAAATATGGCAAGATTACTCATAGAATGTTTAGTTTGTCAGGGAAAGATATGTCACATTGAGTTTTTTTTTTTGGGGGGGGGGACTATGGCTGGCTATCGAATGTGTGAGATCTATTAAAAAAGGCGCAACGTGCACGAGTCAATGTTTTTGCTACAAAATAAAGCAATATGGTCTAAACGACCTGAAGGTGGACAATAAAACACCACTAGTAACAATTACAAAAAGCCCACAATTTTGAAAATCAATTTTAAAGTGCAAACCGTCCGTTGTGTTCGAAATTGGTGTGGTTGTAGTGGGACACTTTTTGTCACACATTTCCACCTCAACACTGTCCCCGTCACAATCTACTCCATTCTCACAGGTTCGAGTTCGACGTATTTCCCCCGATCCACAAGTAGCCTTGCAATCATAATAGTCTCCATTCTCTTGCCAATCACCCCAACTACTCCATGTGCCTTAAGAAAGATTTTGCAAGCACATATTTTGTCATTTACAATTCGTGAAAAAGGGCAACAGTGTAACGATTTAAGAGTAGCCAAATTTCATATATGTTTCAGATATGTGTTAATCCATATACTCAATTGGGACTCGATCAACCATTGTGTTTCTGGGATAACGAGGATTCCATGATATCTCCATGTTGATACATTAATACATGGAGACAATTCCAATACAAAGTCTTTGTAAAGGGACTTTATGGAAACCAGGTATATCGAAATCATACCCGTGATAATGAGCTTAAAAAGAGAGTGCCATCTTTTTAACAAAAGACGTACCTTTTACAACTGGACATTTGGACCTAAGTAAACGCTCACAAGAAGAAAGCGTCCATCTGATGAAACACTCTTCTCCTCCTGAGTATATCCCGTGTATTCTACCTGTGTAGATCTTCTTCCTCTCGTACGTTGAGAGACACACGGCATCTGTTCCTCTTCCCCAAAATGTACTCGTACCACCAACCTTTCAGATATTGTAAAATATTGATGATATGACTCCGTGCGATTTGGTAGTATCTGTTTTCTTAATTTGAAAATACTTTGATTGTATTCGTTTTGATCAATTCACACTTTCTATTCCTTGCTGCCAGTTAAAAACAGTTTTAGATTACTTAACTGAATACGGGTCTTGTTGATGAAAATTCAACTATGGCGTATTTAAATGGGAATTGAGATTTCCATATTTATCGTGAGGAGTGTACATCTAAAGGGACAGATTCATGATTTGATTATTACGTACCCTGATGTAGAACCACTGGCCTCCCCACACACAGCTCACTTGATTACCAGGCGGGGGTCTGCTTTTTGACACATGTCCCGGGCAGTTTGACGTCTGACCATGAGCAAGAGATGCTTCAATGGTTAGTAGCCCAATGATAACTACAGTAAATCAATCAGTATATTACATTAATCTTATTCAAAATGCTGTGAATTCAAGAGTGTAAAGTCACATTAGTTGGGCCGACGATTTAAAAAATACTTTCTCTTCTGAGGGTGATATGTGGAAGTAAGCAAGCATTAATCCTCATGGAACAACAAAAGTTTTTAAAATGTTCACCATTTTTACATTTTGAACCTTCATTATTGTATTTCTCGTGCACTGAATTCTGTAAAATTGCAATTAATATGTTGAAAAGCTACTGGCAATTGTATTGAACTGTAAGCTTATATGCAAAAACATCTAAACGGAATGAACAAAAATTTAAAAATAATCTAACAATAAAATTGTGTTGTGGGACCCTCTGTTGATAAGCAATTGATTAATCTCGAAAACATCAAACTCAGAGTAAACTATTTCGTAAAATACAAGAACTAAACTACATAGTCTAACAAATAATGACTAAGGAAGCTGAACTGTTATGAAATTAAACATGGTAATACTTACAAAAACAGAACTTGAAACAACACAGTCCATCCATTCCGTGTGCTCCTGTATTGTGCTACTGCTAATCTTATGTCTTAGTGAGAAAGTGTGATAAACTAATGTAATTAAAGTCCAACGTGCACATATAAGTAAATAACAAACACTAAACCTCGATCTAAATACTAAATATTTTAATTGAGTCAAAGAGGGGTACAATTTACAATTACAAAGCTATTTCCAAGACATTGTATTGTGTTTTTCACAAACTTCGAATTTATTTTTTTTATGACAAGTAAGAGAATCAAGAAGAGTACTGGTTTCAATAACCAAACTAGTCCTTTTTACATTTTGGAGTTATAAAAAAACAATTCATGGCGTATTTCAAAATTAAAATGACACAGACCAAAGCAGTAATGACGATTACAGCAACTAATCCGGCTATATCAAGAAGATAATATTGAAAAAAGTTCAGTTGATTTTCCCCAGCAGATCTCATGTGTCGTGCTCCTTTATGGCGAATAACATACTCAATCCAATACAGTGTTTTATTTCTTACATCAATTGGTCTATCGTGATATATCGACAGGGCATTTTTAGCGTTTTCAGCATATGTTTTGTTATTGATAGCTTCTTCCATTGCATTTTGAAGTTCAATGCTCGTAATCGTTTTCAACTTTACAACCTTAGCTGATTTGACTCTGGTGGCTAGTTTGAGACAATTGTACTCCTGGTCGCCAGCGAATGGAACACCAACGACAGGGAGACCGCTATTCAGTGCCTCAAACAATGACGATGCTCCACACTGTGTTATGAATAGTTTCACTGTCGGGTTAGCCAGGAGAGCAGTTTGCGGAATCCATTTACTTACAATTGTATTCTCACCCAGGCCTTCCGGTGTGTCACCCTCGTCATATCTAAAGGGAATAACAATATTCTACTTCCGGCACATTTTTCTGGAACACAGACAGCTAAAATGCAGCAAAACACTAATACTTTTATAAAGGCCATACTGTTAAGCATGTCTCTGGTTAAGCGTACTTTTTTGCATGAGACCTCTGATACATAGCCTACAAGTAATGTAGTTGCGCCCACTTCTTGTTAATCGAATAAAAATACAATAAAACAAACTTTACTAACTATACCCTGGGAACAAGAGGTCATCTCAGCTCTGACTATGACCATGGGCTTTCAATTCTAGTTGAAAGCCCATACTATGATATTAGACAAACACATAAATAGTTTTGATGTTAATAATCTAAATGAACCGAAAATAATTCGTACCTGCCATGGCCTTGCGTAGGAGTTTGAATCTCAAGTGAATGATAGCATAATACAAATGTATGTCAGGTCATCTAAAAAGTCAATAAAATATAAATATATGGCAGCTACACATGAAAAACCCGGTCCCGGCTTTAAAACCCGGTCCTATAAAGATGGGAGCTGGCAATGGTAGAATTTTACAATATTTTCCCTTTCCCTGCCATTTTTATTTTACACAAGGCATATGTCTTGAACGAGATCACACTATCAAAAAACCTTCAAAATGGCCGCAAGAAAACACGATGACCACCCAAAAGTTAATCAGCTCAAGAACTAAAATCCTCTATCATGAGTGCGAATTTGGAAAAAAATGGCAATAACAAGATTTATCAAAAAATGTTCAAAATGGCTGCCAGAAAACAAGATGGCCGTCAGAAAGTTAATCAGCGCTAGAAGGTAGAACTCACCCTACTTTTTGTACCGTTGAGATACATGTTAAATTGACCAGAGACATAAAATAAAAATGTTTTTATATATGTCTCTGAATTGACAAAGTTCAAATTAGAATTTCTCAAATCGCAGCCTATCGATTTCCAAAGTATTTCTGAGAAATACAGCAAATCATCATGTCAAAAAATTTCAACAAAAATATCCCACAAAAATCAAAAGTTCTGCTCTCTTACATAATTTGAGAACCAAAACGTCATCATATTTATGTACATTGACCAATTCACCACTACCAAGGTCATCCATCCGCAGAAAATAATCCCAAATATTTGTTTGAGTGTTATCCTCTATCATGTGTGCCAATTTTGAGAAAATCCGATCAGTGGTTTTCCTAAAATGGCGATGACAAGATTTATCGAAAAACCTTCAAAATGGCCACCAGAAAAAAATCGCGATGACAATAAAAGCGGGACGATCACGACTTTATTACCCAAGAATTATCTCTCATTTACAGAGCGTAGATGAAAGAGAAATCAAACTTATTAACATGGGAAGCAAAATGTTTGTTGACTCGCTCGCGAGATATAATTAGAAACACTCATACAAGTATGGCACCAATCGTAAACTATCAATTACAAAAAAGAATGTGTCTGATATTAAGAGCTTTGAAGGAATTTAGCCACCACCCCCTCCCTGACTAAGGGCCTGCACTGGAAAGAACAAATGTAGAATTGTCCCGTATTGTTTCAGCAATCTTTGGTCTTGGTCTCTTGGATAACAAAGAGCAGGTCATTAGGGGATTTAGGCTGGGAACTGAAAGGAGGGGTGGTTGATAAAGCCCTCTCTTGAAATATATAAGGAGGTACCCATAACCGCACCGAGAATTACCTTCAGAATGACCTTGATTTTTATATATCCAAAATGAAATCTCTAGCAAGATCAAATAATTTCTGCCTTGAGACAAATTACGAAAGGTTGGGAAAAAGTGATGGTAGTGTAATTTTGAATTGAGATTAATACTCTATTACATAGACATTTTTTATGTCCCCATTTTGCTAAAGCCAGGTCGAATCCCCCCCCCCCCATTTTAAGTAGCAGTTTATTGTCTTAAAACATTCGTGGTAAGTTAACTACACTACTAAGTGATAAGGTATTTATTTTTATGGAATGGGGGCATGGCATCTTTTATATGTTTGACAAATATGTGAAGATGTTTTAGCAACACTTAGAAAATTGAAGTATTTTATGTTTTTGTACTTTTGAAATATATCGGGTGTCCCAATAAAGACGTCACACTTTTGAACATATGTTTTTCAGCAATGACTGAATCTGAATGACTGAATCAAAGGAGCGCGTAGGTTAACGCAAACAATTTCAGGCGATTGTAGCTTTTGAATATTTTCTGATTATGCACATAGGTGTATCTTTTAGACCCATTCATTATCTTCGAGAAAAGTATATATAATGATAATTATTACCACCTTGGCGGGCCAGTTCTAGGGGTTTTAGTGCTAGTTTAGAAGGCGTTTGTTTTACTATATCGACCTGAGAAATGTGTGACGTCATAGTGGTGGTCCATATGGACCGGTCTAGAACATATTCTAGACCGGCAATTTTCCCCGGGAAATTAGATATCGTTCAATGCGTAATATTTTCTTGCTGTTTCAGTCCTGGTCGTTAACGGTGGTAATAATACTAATAACGTCATTTCTGCGAGCAATATAGTGAAATATTGGACCTTGGGCCTTCGGCCCTCGGTCCAATATTTCACTATATCGCCCTTAGAAATGACGTTATTGTACTATAATTTAATCAGACTAATTGATAGGGGCAATGGACAAACTTTTTCAAATATATTGACCTAATTATATTCATTAAAAATGCAACCTTTTTGTTATAATTTTGAATGCATAATTAAAATGTACTTTGGGACGTTTTATTTCCTAAAAGGTAAAGTGGATTCCTCCAGGGACTCTAAAGATATTGAATTTGGATGACCAAAATGAGCTGAAACCAACTAATAGCATGAGGTTTTTCAATGGAGAAATAACATGGGGAACACTAATCTTGGAGGAATTCAGTTGTCCTTTTAAGAACTAATTGATACATCACAATGTGTGCATTTTAAAAAATGATTGCATTTTTGGTGAAAATGGGGTAAACATATTTGTAAAGGTATGTTGATAGGTTGATTGCTAGCTAAATATCTCTGAGTCCGATTGGCTTTATTAACATTGTATGTACTTTTCTTTGAGATCATGAATGGAATCTTCGTGGTCAGAAAATAGTCATAATCCAAGATATACATATAACTGTCTGAAATTGCTTGCCGAATCTTTATTGAAAGTTTCCATGAAGTAGCCTATGGATAGTTGAACACGTATGAAAGGGAACTGATAAAACTGCATGTCAAATAAGCTAATATCAACAGTTGGACGGCACATTGCCTTAACCCATCAGCTTTATGACGTGCACTTCCGCGTGGGACTATATCTTTACAACGGGAATTTCAAGTTTTTGTCAGTGAAGACATAAAAAGTTGCGGTCCTCTTACTCGCGCAGTTTTTAATATTTTCAATTGAAACTTGCAGGAACGGTGCTTTGAATCTAGCTCTCTACTCTTTGAAAACGTCATGTAGAATCAAAACAGTTAAACTATTTATTTTTTGTCGTGAAAATATTATTTTTTTAGTTTATTTTTATTTTACAACTTTTTGGGAAAAAATGTAACAAATTTTTATTTCTTGTCATATTTATCCGATATTTTGTCATCATGAAATTCGAGATTCCTTTTAATGATGATGCAAATTTCATAACAATTGATGAATTTCTATTATCAGTGTTATGTTTTCCAAAAACGGTGTACCACTGTGCATGTTTCTTTAATTGACGGCACATTTGCCTTTAATTGGGCGAACGTACAGGTCCCGACGCAATAAGCTTTATTTGATTTAATACACTCAAAAATAAAGTTTGCTATCAAATCAGAATGTTCATAAAACATAAACCTTGCCTTTGTTTTCCCAATTCTAAAAGCAGGCCAAATAAACTATGATAATCGTTTGACTCTCGAGACTACAGAACTTGAACTAGAACATGCTAAAATCGAAGTTACCTATAGTTACGCTTGTAAAGTTAATTCAAACCGTGCTCTATTCGAATTTCTCAACCAATCAGAATGCAGCATAGCCAATATAGAACGTTCTCTAATTCTCCATAGATGCACGACCATGCTCTATTCAATCTGCAATTTGCATTGTATTGAGTGACGTCACATCTCAGCTGCACATCTGGGGCTCTGTCCGGGGATAGCTGTTCTTTTTTACTCCCTCCGTAACTACTGTAACTATTTAACACCCCATGTTTGCATACACCGTATAAAATCTAAAACGGGGA